TGGCCACCAACGTGCACATGTGTTGTGCACCTGTATGAGGGGGAATATTTATTGAAAGAAGCAGTCGGTGTGCTAAGATTATAAATTGAAAATACAAAAATACCCTTATAAATTTTTCTGTGGACATTGTACACTTTGCTGTAGGCTGTTGCTGTCAGCCTGTAGTGTATGTCTTTTTTTAGAAGTCTTTAAAAAAAAAGGTGAAAAACGCAATGTGTGGGTCAACAGCCTGTCCGCGAAGGACACGCTGCAAAAAAGACAGCTTTGGACAGCCACATACTTCAAGTGCTGACTGCTGGACTACTTTTGGCTTGTTGTGTTGGGGACCAAATAAGGCAGACGCAGCTCAATGTTCTTCCTCACTGAGCCGGACTAGATCTCTTCCACTGAAGCTGTCTCCGTGCTGGTGACAATTTTAGCAATCAAAACTCAGAAGCTCTAAGAATTTCTTCTCTCATTGGAGTTGTAGTACAACAAAGCTTAATTTAAATCTTGACACTGGTCATTTAAATCTGGATACAACATGAGAAGGTGTTTGAAAAGAGAATCTATGTATAAATCAGTCTGATCATATGTCTTGTTGCAAAAATTACTTGCATCATTCATGGTAGTTGTCTTTTGCGTTGCTCGACAGACACGAAGTTGACAGTGAAATTCAAGTCCAATTGGGTTCATGCAGCAGTTACAGTTGCGTAAAGTCTCTTATGTCACACTGAATGTGTTCAGGGCTTCTTCGCCTGTCAGCATAGTCAGACTTACATGTGCCTACACAGTGTCTTTTGTTGAAGCTCAATTTGGAAAATGTGAGTTGAAAGTTATGGTGTGGCCAGTTGACAGTTAAACTTCATCTTTCCCATCATGTTGATGGCAGATGTTCCTGTGTGAACCGTCTTCATGGCCATTTAAATGCTTCCCTGACATCCCTTTGTAAATGTTTTCGTTTTTGGCTTTTTCCACTTGTAGTTAAGGCCTGTTTGAGTGTAAACAACACATGGGCGTAATATTAATATTTCAATATTGACTGCCTTCAAGAGCAGAGTTTTCCTGTATGTTTACATGTGTTTATAGAGCTACTTTTTTCCAACTTTTTATTGTAATTTTTTTTTAGTCCACTAATAAAAACCCCATCTTTTAGAACTCTTGATGAAGACCAGTCGTTGTGCATACATGGCCTTTCAAAATCCAGATATTTTTAATGTACAGTTAAGTTTAAGTTTCTCTTTTGTAATCATGGCCTTAAAATCCAAACCCAGTGTATGTCAGATAACTTTGCATTTGCACTAAGAAATGTAAAAGTAGCTCTGAAGCAATTTCTGGACAGAATTTGATGGCAGCTATGGTACTGTAGCTTTTTTTGTTTTGTTTTGTTTTGTTTTGTTTTTACATGAAGTGTATCGCAACACATAAGCACACTACTAATCTATACATATGACTTATGTAGTATAACAATAAATAACATTTTCATCTTTTCTATTACTGATAGTTTCTGCAGTGTTAAATGTGTTTTTGTACATTGTGCATGTGATTGTGTAATATTTGATGTGATGGTTCTGTTCCTACAGTGCTTACGTTGACTTAAAATTGTCTCTTAGTGCAGAGGGATACTTTTATATACCTTCTGTTTAAACTTGCCATCTAAGCATGAATACGGTTTATTTAAAATGTTACCATAAAACGTGGAGGTGTCTGTCACACAAACAAAAACTCAGAGGTTTGGTTTCTTTCTTGAATGAATTGTTGGTACTCTGCAAAACAAAAAAACATGACGTCTGTATTGTTGCACATTTGTCATGTATTTGCTTACTTGGAGTGCTCTCAGCCTACATCTTGTGTTTTATCAGTAGGCGAACATGTGAACACTTTTGTCCTCAACTCTCAACATCACAGATATTTTGACTCTGGGGGAAGTGCCAGCTGCAGATTACAAGTTTCTAAAGTGAACACAGTAAATTCTTTGATTTGCTTCCTTCTTAAGCTACTCCCAAACCAAATTTATAATGTGAGTTTAGGGAGGTTGCGCTATCTGACATCCAGCCTTTTAGGTTGCATTTAAGACTTTGAGGTCATCCAACTTACTCCACCCACTTTCTTACTGCAGTGCACCAATTTCACTGTCAGCAACACAGATACAAATGCATCTGCATCAACAGTCTTGTAAGGATTTAGTGGCTTAGCATCTCTCCTACTGGGAGTGCTGTGGTTATTGTGGCTGGATAAATGACTGCTTGACCCTCGGAAATCATATTTTCCATATAATCTGCAACAAAGTTCAGATGAGTTTTGAAACTCTTCAGCTCATGGCCTTGTAAAACAGTCTGTAAAAGTCAACTTTGTAATACACAACACAGCTTCCCACCCCGCCCCCTCTGATCCTTCTGCGATTGTTTGTGACCTTATCGTCCAGCATGCAACAGTTTGGAGTATTTTCCTGACCTTTGAGTCTGCTCTTTCAGATCCTTTGTACTCGAGACAGCTGTATTGAGAATAAGTTGTTTTGAAGTCGCTTTGGCTCTAAATGAAATTCCTGACTTGTAATCAGTTATTTGCTCCCACTTTATCTCAAATAAGCTCCATGTGTCGCCTTGTTTGATGCATTTGGCTCATATAAGTTTCCACTGACTTTCTGTAATAACCACAGACGAGATGTCGAGGCAGTGTCACAGTGACATTCTAAATTTTTCTACAATAACAAGCTAAATATGATGACTGGATTATATGGTCTAAAATCAGTAGATGTTAACAGACCCACCGTTCAGTTATGAATTCATTTTTTTAATAAATGGAAGAAAACTAAATTCTTCCACGCCATAGCCTATATATCTAACTTTTTATATGGCTTTGCAATGCTAGATCAGTAATTTGTCTACTCTATGTTCTTGGTGAAAGCCTTATTGAGATACTCGAGCAGCAGGATGGCCGCTACGATTTTGCTCTTTGTTTTTTTAACTCCCCTCAGCCAACAGCAAATACTATCATTTTACCACTGTCCCACTTTCTTCTGTACTTTCAGGTGCTGTCTTTGCAGAATTCCCTTTATTTTTCCTTGGACCAGGTTTCCACCTCACACTTTTACCCGAGTTTATGAAATTGTTTAAAACACTCTTGACCGATTTGTCCTCGGCTGTAAATGATTCTAGGATAAATTTTGAGTTTGTTTTCTTAACGGTTCACTGCGCAGGTCAGAAACAAGAAAGACAAAAATCTTAAAAATGTCAGGACGGCGTTCTTCTGAAGTTCTAGCTGTTTTGAGGCTGGTTCGCTGCCAGTGGAATAAATCACATATGAAAAGGTCACTGAACTTTCGGCTGAAAATAGCACAAAAACGCTCTGTGCTTTCTTTACATGTACTTGTTGCTACCTGCTCGTGTGTAGTCGTTGCCGTTATCATGTCGCTGTCCAGGTTTCTTTGTGTGGAAGAAGTTCCTTTTTGTGCAGATGTGCTTGTGTAATGGACTATTTAAGTTTCTGATGATACTAGTGTGTATGCCACGTGCTGTGTTCCTGATCATGTTGCGTGACTGCAGTTTTTTTTTCTTTGTTAAACGGTCGGCTTGTAGAGCAGTACAGTTTGGTAACACTGGATTTTGAGTTGAGTACTGGCAGCTTTGGTTCCTCAGTGCATTTCAGTCTGCCTTGTCACTTTAAAGATGCTGGTTTCAGTTTCAGTAGTACACCAGCAACAACGATGGATAAAAATAGATTTAAATATCAGCTCAAATATATATTTTTAGGATTATGCAGACTGAATGTGATGTGCCTAGCTCGCTGTCTTTTTTTTTTCCTTTATAAAATGTAAATAGAGGAAGTTGTTGAAGTCCTCGTGAGACTTTCCAAAGTGGGAAATTTTTAAGTTTTACGTCTTAAAACCTCTGAGGACATGAGACTTGTTATAAGTAACTTGTTTTAAAACACTTCAGCTATATCATTCAAAGATCTTATAAACTAAGACTGAAAAGGTTTGATGTTACATGCTTTAGGGCTCTTTTTTTGTACATTTTAAGTTAGAGACTCATTGTTTGTGTAATAAATGTCTTTCCAAAGAAGCTGCTGTGGTTTTTCTTTTTTTCCTTTCTACAATTAAACATGTCCATTTGAATGGTACTGCTGCTTGGTTGACATTTAAAACAGCACTCAGAGGTCACATAGTGAGGAAAACATTGAATTGTATAATCTCAGCTGGAAACAAGATTAGAAACAATGAAACGTGTTGCGTTTCTTTCAGCACACCTCTCTCCTCACAAGAGCTGAGCATGGAAAAAGGAAGTGGTTAAAAATAAATCTCTGCTTTCATGACATGAAAATAAGACACAAACAGAGGGTAGCTGTCGTTTCTTTCATTTTAGTTGGAACTCAGGCTTTACACCTACTGCTTTTAAAGGTGGCCCATTACTTGATATGTAATGAACATGAACACTGTTTTTAAATGTTAATAATCCAGTGCCAAACAAATGTGATCAGTATATCCCAGTAAAACAGTCACTTTTTTCAAGCTTTAGATCCTGTAGACCCTGTTGCCATTGATACTTGCTCTATTGTAGTCTAAAACTAACTGTATGCTAATATCTTATTTATTTTTATGTAAAATGTACTGCATGTCACTACCAGGGACTCTTCGTCATTCAGCTGCAGTCTTCACGGGTCAACATTCTCCATCTCACCCTATCCCTAGCATCCTGCTCTATCACACCATACCTCTCCATGTCTTCCTTCACTACTTGATCTTCCTCTTTTCCTCTTGCCTGGTGGCTCTATCTTCAACATCCTTTGTCCAGCATACCCAGTATTCTTCCTCTGCACATATCCACGGTCCTCTAACTTTTACTCCAAACCGTTCAACTTAAGCTTTTTACCTCTGATATATTTATTTCTAAAAGGGAACAATGAAGCCAATAAGCTATTGAACTGACTGAGTGGTCAGTTTTTACATTCAATTACACATCTCTACCGCTAGATGGCATCAATGACACAGAATCGTTCTTACTGAAAACGCGGAAGTGTCTTAAAATTGATGTATCTGAGCCTCCGTAGCCCAAACCTGCTCTTTGGAGATAAATATACATTAAGTTGCTCTTACGCTTTGTCCTGCATACACATCTATTGCAAGGTAAACTGTTTAATGTCACCGGAGAATTAACGGAATTGTATAGCTGTCTAGTGTGTCGTCAGTGGGGATCCATCATTTGGGAAAATAGCTCCGGTGGCTAGGTGCTAGCTCTGCTAGCTAGGTAAACAGGCAGTGTGCCAAATGCCTGTTTTTATCCAGAACAGTTTAGATGGATTTTATCGAGGTTTGGCTACACTTAGCTGCAGTTGCCGAGCATACAGTGGCTCTTTGTGTTTACCAAAAACCTCCGGAGGTTTACCTGACAGCTTTGTCTTGTTGTTGACCGCAGAGCTCGTACCATGGATTTGACTGGAAGATGACCTGCAGCCCGAGCTTATGACTGACAGATTCTGCCGTTCACCAGGTCACATTTGAGGTGTGTGTTGTTGTCATTGTGCTCGAGCCACTTATACTGACGAGTGTTTTCGTTTAATAGCTCAGTGTTGTTATTTCGCCCTGCAGGTTCCACACAGGGTGACCCATGCTTTCTGATGAGCTTGACTCCAAACCAGAGGTAAGCTTTCCATCATTTTCGCCCTCCGAAGGGAGACCACTTTGTGGTGCAGGGATCTGTTAAATAACACACGAGGTTCATCTTTTTTTTTCATGCTGTGCCTCTTCTCCTTCCCCATCACTCAGCTGCTGGTGCAGTTTGTGCAGAACGCGTCCATCCCATTGGTGCAGGGTCTGGAGGACTCGGAGTCCAAACACTGCTGCCTGCCTCTGCTGGCCCCTGCTGAGAGCTCCCTGTGCACCCCGCTGGAGCTCACAGGTGAGCACATGCTCACTTCTGTTGTCTTGTCCACTATTGGGCAGAGTAGTGATATTCGTGCCACATCTTTCATTACTACATCCAATCGTTTTCGGGTTTTTTTTCATTGTCTAGTAATATTACTACCAGAGTCCTACCTTGTTATGGAGACAGGCGTTTACTGTAGGAAAGCTGGACAGGCGTAGAAGGTCCCTAATCCATCAGCAGGATTGGTATCTGCTCCTTTGTGGAAGGAACAGGATGGGTACTGCCAGAGCTACAAATTGACCTCCAGCAGGCCACTGGTGTGAATGTCTCTGACCAGACAATCAGAAACAGACTTCATGAGGGTGGCCTGATGTGCTCTAGTAGGCCCTGTGCTCACTGCCTGGCACCATTGATATATCATTAGCATGTCTCTGGAAGGACACACAGACCTCTAGAGCTTAGCCAATGACACCCTGACTGTCATTAGGTATTGGGATGAAATCATTGGATTGTCAGACCCTATGCTGGTGCATTGGGTCCTGGGATCCTCCTGGTGCACAACAATGCCTGGTTTTATGTGGTGAAGATATGCAGGCAGTCTCATTCCTTTAACTGGACCAAAACCCAATAGAATACCTCTGGTTTCACCTCAGACTGTCCTAAAGCTCAGTGATGCCCTGGTCCTAAACTGGGAGGAGGTCTCCCCCAAGACACATCCTGTCATCTCATTGGGAGCATACCCCAGCGTTGTCAGGCATACATACAAGCACATAATAATAATGATAATGATAATAATGTATACTTTATTGATCCCTGTGGTGAAATTACTCTCTCTGCATTTAACCATTCACTCAGTGAAGCAGTGGTGAGCCACTGATCAGGCGCCCGGGGAGCAGTGTGTAGGGACGGTACCTTGTTCAGGGGTACCTCAGCGTAGCTGTTCAGTGGATTCAAATTCCCGACCTTCCGATCATGGGGTGACCCTGCTACCTACTGAGCTATCCCTGCACTAAAAAAAAAATAGCTGACCATTGTCGACAGGATTCGAACCTGTGCGGGGAGATCCCAGTGGATTTTTAGTCCATCGCCTTGACCGCTTGACACATTACCCAGTCAACACCAGTATAGATATCCAGCACTTTTTTTCCCTCCACTGGTGTGTTTTCCAAGTGTTCTTTTGTTTTTATTTTATTTATTTTTTTAGCAGTGTATATTCACACCAACATTGATACATGTACCTGCACAATTTCTGTTAAACTGATACACCGGTCACAGCTTTAATCATAGATTCTTGTTCTTTAATAGAAGATGATGATGATGATAATGATGAAGAAGAATAGAAGACAAAAGATACCTAACCAACAATCTCTGCCATTTCCCGTCTGTGTCATTTAGAAAGAAAATGTAGGTGTAATTGTCTGTAGTGAGTGATGGCTGCGGCGCTGAGCACTTACTGAATCATATACGAGTGTATATGAGTGGCACTAGCTACAGCCGCCCTTTGTGTGTGGAATAGTCACATAAATACGTGTGCCACATTGTTAATTTCAAATGCACTACTTTGTGAGAAAACATGAAATTTGTTGCTAATTAAAATTTTTGTCACGTGAAAATAAGCATTTAGAAGACCCTTGGCAATAAGAACAGTTCTTCACAGCATTCTGATTGTTTTCAGAATATCTCTATCCCTTCAGATTTGCACTGGTGCATTTAACCGTCTATATTTGAAACCTGGAAAGCCTTCCACGGCTGTTGAAAAAGACGATAAATCATCTCTAAGAAAAGAAAGAAAAGCGCTTGCTAGAGATGCTTCAATTTGGAAGGACAGATATTCTTTGTGACACAATGTGTCTATGATTTTTTTATTAATCTACTTTGAATAAGAGGGGCAGATCTAAAAGAGCAGACAGCACTGATTGTAAATGAAGGCTATATTTGCATTCACTGTTGCTTATCAAGTTCTATTTTGTGCCCTCTTGAAGTCTCATACACACACTGAATACATTTAGTTATTTTAAATCAGTATTTGCCTTGTTTATAGTATGTTCATGTCTGCTAGTTTATATTTGTGCTATTAAATCAGTACAGTGCACTTGTCATATCTGCGTAAACAGCTCACTGATTATTTACTGTTTGCTATTACTTTACAGTCAATGTGTTTTCAATTTGACACAATAACTGATTTCCTCCCCCAGATGGAGGCCTAAGCCACGAGCCTGAGAGTTCCCCCTCCCTGACAGAGTTTGGAGGCGTGTCGGAGCAAAGCTCATTAGTAGTCCAGACGCACTCTCACCCACGGGCCTCAAGCCCCCCGCCCATCCTCCATGACTTACAGCAGTCAGACAACACTTCCTATGTCCTGCTGAACCTTGCAAAAGGTAAACGAACATTAAAGGGACGTCGTTTGTCTCTGCCAAAGTCTGAATTACGTTTTTGCCACACTTGGCATCCATGTTCTTTAGTTCACATGCTTGAATTTATTTTTGTGACTCACAATTTCTTCCTTTGCAGGACAGCAAAGTAACGTTAATCCTTTGGTTCTACACTCACTGGCCACTTTGTTAGGAACACCTGTTCTACTGCTTGTTAACACAAATATTTAATCATCCAATCACATGGCAGTACCTCGGTGCATTTGGGCATGTGGACATGATCAAGACGACCTGCTGGTGTTCAAACAGCAACAGAATGGAGAAGAAAGGATAAGCAACTTTGAATGTGGCCTGGTTGTTAGTGCCAGCCAGGCTGATCTCAGTATTTCAGAACCTGCTGATTTGCTGGGATTTTTCCCACAAAACCTTCTCTAGTGTTTATTGAGATCGACAGACCACATGACTTTCGCGCGTTGCATTGTAGGTACGAGTGGCAGCAAAATCAAAACACTGCATCAAGCGCTAGCATTTCCAGCACCGGTAACCATTAATTCTGCATTAATCTATACTTGCATTTTATTTGCCCCAAAAACAGTTATGTACAAAACGAGAACACGGCAGGTCCGTACAAAGACAGACGTGACGAAAAGGCAAAAAAAAGCACGAGAAAAAAAATCAAAGGAGTGAAAGGGTCAGACCCATACGAGCATACAGAGTGGAGTAAGGACGTTAGCGTGCTGCCCAACTTTCATCACGCACATATTTATAATTATATGGTCCTAAGTGTGAGTGCATACACTCACAAAATGTTTAGTAACTTCAGATCCCTGCAACAAACCCAGGTCCAGTTTACTTTGGGAATTACTGTTGTAATTTTGTTTTTTCTTTATCTCCTGTACAGGCCAACGCAATCTATTTGTCGTTTCACAACGTTTTCAGATCCAATAGATATAAAATAAGTGTTTCTTAATTCATTCAATTGATTGTCTTTATTTATAAATGGCATTATTGTTATTATTTTGTTATTATTATGGCTGTCATGTGACCAGCTATTGCAGTTAATAATACAACAGCTTCTTGACATTTTTTGTGTTTCTTTTTATTGCTGTGTGACTGTTTTCTTGTGAAAGCCTGCATGCGCTAGTACCGCTTGCCACTCGTACCTACAATCCTTTGCGGTTTTGACGTAACATTTTCGATCTCTATAGAGAATGGTCTGAAAATAAGAAAATATCCAGCAAGCAGGAATTCTCTGGGTGAAAATGCCTTGTTGGTGTCAAAGGTCAGAGAAGAATGTCCAGACTGCTTCAAGCAGATAGGAAGGTATCAATAGCTTAAATAACCACTCGCTGCAGCCAAGAGCAGAAGAGCATCTCTGAAAGCAAAACCTGTTGAACCTTGAATCAGATGGGCTACAGCAGCAGAAGACCGCACTAGGTATCACGCTTGTCAGCTGAGAACAGGAAAACAAGTTTGCAGTTCACACAGCCTCACCATAATTGGACAATAGAAGATTAGAAAAGTGTTGCTTGGTCATATGAGTCTTGATTTCTGCAGCGACATTCAAATGGTAGGGTGAGAATTTGGAGAAAATAACATGAAAGCATGTGTCCATCCTGCCTTGTAACAGTGGTTCAGGCTAGTAGTGCTGGCAGGATGAACACATGGAGTGGGGGATATTTTCTTGGCGCACTTTTAGCCCCTTAGTACCATTTAAGCATCATTTAAGCTAGGGATGCACTGATACCGATACTGGTATCGGGTATCGGGACCGATACTGTAAAAATGTGGTATCGGTTAACTCGTAAAAGTTAACCGATACCATGAACCGATACTAACTTATTTCATTAATCAGAGGGTGGATTGTCATTTTTGTTGTAGTTTTTTAGATTGGCCACTAGGGGACATCCCGCGCTAAACAGGCACA